TTTATATTCATTAAATAAAAGATAAAAAAAAAGAAAAGAATGAATTATAATTCTTCTCAACATATTCAAAACCATTGAAGGGAAAGAATGCTCCCAAACTCCTTCTATGAGGTCAGCATCACCTTAACTCCAAAAGCAGAAAAAGATACAACAGACAAAGAGAACTATAGACCAATATCCCAGATGAACATAGATGCAAAATGCCTCAAAAGAATGTTAGCTAATCAAATCCAATAACATATCAGAAAGGTCATTCATGTGGACCAAGTGGGGTTTATCCCTGGTATGCAGTGATGTTTCAACATATGAAAATCAATAGCCGGCGCCGCGGCTCACTAGGCTAATCCTCCGCCTTGTGGCGCTGGCACACCGGGTTCTAGTCCTGGTCAGGGCGCCGGATTCCATCCCAGTTGCCCCTCTTCCAGTCCAGCTCTCTGCTGTGGCCAGGGAGTGCAGTGGAGAATGGCCCAAGTGCTTGGGCCCTGCACCCCATGGGAGACCAGGATAAGTACCTGGCTCCTGCCATCGGATTAGCGCGGTGCACCGGCCGCGGCGGCCATTGGATGGTGAACCAATGACAAAAGGACGACCTTTCTCTCTGTCTCTCTCACTGTCCACTCTGCCTGTCAAAAAAAAAAGAAAAAAGAAAATCAATAAATGTGATACATCATATTAACAAACTGAAGAATAAAAGCCATATGGTTATTTCAATAGATGCAGAAAAAGCATTTGATAAAATACAACATCCTTTCTTGATAAAAACCTTAAGCAAATTTGATATAGAAGGAACATTCTTCAACACAATCCAGGCAATTTATGACCAACCCACAGTCAGCATCTTATTGAATGAAGAAAAACTGGAAGCGTTCCCCCTAAGATCCAGAACCATGTAAGGATGCCCACTGTCACCAATGCTATTCAATATAGTCCTGAAAGTTTCAGCCAAACCCATTAGGCAAGAAAAATAAATGGGATACATATTGGAAAAGATTTACAGATGACATGATTCTATATATAGGGGAACCAAAAGACGCCAATAAGAGACTATTGGAACTCATGAAAGAGCTTGGTAAAGCGACAGGATATAAGATGATATAAAATCAACACACAAACATAAATAGCCTTTGTATACACAGTGTCATGACTGAGAAAGAACTTGTAAAGCCAGTCCCATTCACAACAGTTAGAAAAAAATTCAAATATTTGGAATAAATTTAACCAAAGAGGTGAAAGATTTGTACAATGAAAATTACAAAACATTAAAAAAAAGATGGCATGGAAAATCAAAAAATCTTCCATGTTCATGGATTCATATAGTAAATATCAAAATGTCCATACTACTGAAAGCAATTACAGGTTCAATGTGATCCCAATCAAAATACCAGCAACATTCTTCTCAGATGTAGAAAAAACAATGCTAAAATTCATCTTGAAACACAAGAGACCCTGAATAGCTAAAGTAATTAAACCACAAAAACAAAGCCAGAAGAATCAGAATACCAGATTTCAATACAGAGCTTATGGGCAGTTGTAATCAAAACAGCCAGGTTATGGCACAAAAATAGACATGTAGACCAATGGAACAGAACAGAAAATGTAAATTACTACAACCATTGTTGTAGACAGTAATGAGACAGCTAAAAATAGGTATACCATATAACCCAGCAATCTCACTCCTGGTAATTTACACAAACAAAATGGATCAGCAGGTTAAAAAGTTATCTGCATGTTTATTCCAGCTCAGTTCACAATAGCTAAGATACAGAATCAACCCAGATGATCATCAGCTCATAATTGGATAAAGAAATTTATGACATGGAATACTAAGCTGTAAACAATGATTGAAATCCTATCTTTTGCAACAAGATGGATGGCTACTGGAAGCCATTACACTTAATGAAATAAGCCAGTCCCTGGATAAAGAAATTATAGAATATGTACTCCATGGAATACTATGCAGCAGGAAAACATCATACTGAGTGAAATAAACCATTCCCAAAGGGACAAATATCATATGTTGTCCTTGATTGATGGGTGACAACTGAGCACTAAAAACCTGTTGAAGTAAAATGGACACCATGAGAAGGAGTTCAACAGCCCTTGTCCTGGCTGTTGAGGAACAACTTACTTTTTTATTCCTTTTAGTTTTTTGTTGTTGTTGTTGTTCTACTAAATACAATTGGTTGAACTCTTTAATTAACACACAATTAGTCTTAGTCATTTAAACTTAACTGAAAAGTGATCCCTTTAAATATAAGAGTGGAAATAAGAAAGGGAGGAGATGTACAGTTCAGCACATGCTCACTCAGACTTACCCCTAATGGTAGTGCTAGAAACGTGCCAGGGGATTCCAATTCAATCCCATCAAGGTGGCATGTACCAATGCCATCTTACTTGTTAAAGTTATCAGTTTAACGGTGACTTGATCAGCATAGCCCTGACTATTAATGAACAACTTACTACATTATCCCTCTTAGTATTTTTTTTTGTCTGTTCTACTTAATACTACTGGTTTAATTCTGAATTAATACACAGTTATTCTTAAGTGTTAAAATTTAACTGAAATGTGATCCCTGTTAAATATAAGAGTGGGAATAAGAGAGGGAAGAGATGTACAATTTGGGACATGCTCAAGCTGACTTGCCCAAATGGTAGAGTTAGAAACATACCAGGGGATTCCAATTCAATCCCATCAAGGTGGCATGTACAATGCCATCTCACTAGTCCAAGTGATCAATTTCAGTTCACAATTGATCATAATGAAAGGACTAAGAGTCAAAGGGATCACATAAACAAGTCTAGTACCTGCTAATACTAACCAATAGAATAAATAAAGGGGAGAGCGATCCAACATGGGAAGCGAGATACACAGCAGACTCATAGAATGGCAGATGTCCTAAACAGCGCTCTGGCCTCAGAATCAGCCCTAAAGGCATTCGGATCCGGCTGAAAAGCCCATGAGAGTATTTCAGGCATGGAAAGCCAAGACACTCTGGCAAAAGAAAATGACCTAAATGAAAGATCTCTGTGAGTGAGATCCCAGCAGAAAGAATGGGCCATCAAGGAAGGAAGTACCTTTCTCTGAAGGGAGGAGAGAACTTCTACTTTGACTATGGCCTGTCTAAATAAGATCACAGTTGGCGAACTCAAGAGACTTCCATGGCCTTGGCAGCTCATGACAAGAGCCTTGGGTGATTACTGACGTCATAAATAAGTGTCAATTGTTAAATCAAGAACGGGACTCACTGTGCACCTGCTCCCCATGTAGGATCTCTGTACTTAATGTGTTGTACTATGCAAATTAATGGTAAAACTACTACTCAAACAGTTCTCTTTACTTTGTGTGTCTTTGTGGGTGCAGTTTGTTGAAATCTTTACTTAGTATATACTAAGTTGATCTTCTGTGTATAAAGATAATTGAAAATGAATCATGATGAAGAATGGGATGGGAGAGGGAGTGGGAGATTTGGATGATTGTGGGTGGGCGGGAGGTTCTGGGAGGAAAAGCTGCTATAATCCAAAAGTTGTACTTTGGAAATTTATATTTATCAAATAAAAGTTGAAAATGGAAAAAAAAGAAATAAGCCAGTCCCCAAAAGACAAAAACTATATGTTTTCCTTGACATGTATAAATAATAAAATACCAAAAAATGTTATGTATAGGAGTTGGCCTTCTGAAATCCGATGATTATTTACAGTCTTTTTCTCTACAGTTGAGGAACAGTGGTGGTTTTTTTCTTCTTACCATTTGTTGAACTTTTTTACTTTTAATCTTTTGATTATAAATTCAAAGTAAAAGTGCCAGTGCTGTGGCGTTATGAGTAAAGCCTCTGTCTGCAGTGACAGCATCCCATTTGGGCACCGGTTCAATTCCCAGCTGCTCTACTTCTGATCCAGCTCTCTGCTAAGAGCCTGGGAAAGCAGTAGATGTCCCAAGCCCTTGGGCCCCTGCGCTCACATGGGAGACCCAGAAGAAGCTCCTGGCTCCTGGGTTCCTATCAGTCCAGCTCCAGCCATTGCAGCTATCTGGGGAGTGAACCAGTGGATGGAAGATTCTCATTCATATTCTCTCTCTCTCTCTCTCTCTCTCTCTCTCTCTCTCTCTTCCTCTGTCTCTCTGTAATTCTGTCTTACAAATAAATAAAACCGTTTTTAAAAAAATTGAAAGGAAAAATTAAGAGAGAATAAGAAAAGAAGGAGGAGGCAAAGTGGGTGCATGGGTAGGATAGAGGGTATGGCGGGAAGTATCACTATGTTCCTAAATCTATACATAGGAAATAAGTTGTTTGGCTTAAAATAAAATTTTATAAAAATTTTCAAAATTAATGTTATTCTAAAGTTAAAAAAAAGAAAAGGCAAATCACTCCAGGCCTTCTCATAGTATACTTTTTCCTTCCATATTTGGGAGAACATTTGTATTTTAATTTTGTAATCCATAGCCCTGCACTGTTTGTTGCAAGGCTTTCAATTCTGTGGTGTGTCCATGTTGCAGTGTCACACAGATGGGATGGCCCAACTTTTGTGCTTAGTAAACAATCTGGATAAGTTTTTTAAAAAGTTAATCAAGAGCTTTTTCAACCCATAACTTCAAACCCTCTGAAAACACTTCCTATATAGATTCAACTTACGTTAATAGCAGTGGTATACGTTCATAATTTTTCAAGCAAAGGTCATGAACAAATGAAATTTAGAAAGGAAAAGATGATTTTTCATAGTACAGGTATAGGTCAGTCTTGCTTAAATTACTGTGAATGTTTATCACCACACATGTAAGGTCAAGCTTTCTAGAAAAAGTTCTTCCTCCCATTTATATGTTAATTAATACAACACATATTTTTTATTGAGCATACTGTGTGGCAGGCATTGGTGATATTACAGTGAAAAGGTAAGGCTAATTTCCTCCTAAAGCTCACATACTGGTGTTGTATGAAAGGTTAATTGTAATTCATTATTTTACAGATTGCCTTTAACTGACTTGATAATGTCCTTCTTCCTTGCAGCCCATTTGGCTGCATCTGCTGGAAATATCCTATTTTTTGCCAGTTTCTTTCCATTTAACTTCATCGCTCAACGCTATGGAGAAATCACCCTCACTTACAAGGTGGCTGCCTGTCTCAGCTCAAACGTTGCATTGGCACTAGGGATTAATCTTCTGCTCAAATTGGAAGTAAGACGTGAGTGTTTGCTGTTCTGATTCAATTCCTAGAAAAATAGGGTGAGGAAATGTGTGCTGATGAGACAGTAACTGAGAAGATAAAATGTTACAATGTTTATTTTTCCCCAGTTTCTTTATTCATATAATGGTGATTGTATGAACCATGAAGCAATCTGTGTGTAAAGTTACGAGTTCCCCATCCCTCAACAGTAAACCCCAATTACCTTATCAAATCAAATAATTTTAAATATTCTACAATATGCTTTATTGTCTTAATGTGTCTTGGACCTCTTCCCATGTAATGATGCGCTTATATTTTTAAACAAGTTAGTTTGATTTTCTACTGTAAATGGGTACTATAATTAATTAACTCATTCTCTATCAGCACATATTTATGTGGTATCAATGTTTTCCTATTACCCATATCAAGACATACATATTTAGTCAAGCAAATATTTGCATATTAATCTGAAAATCTCATTAGGTATTAATAGCTTAATTTTTATTTCACTCATTAAAGAGTATCCCAATCCATTATTCTGCCAACAGTATGAGTTTTTCCACATCCCTGAAAATAATGCATTATACTAATCTCACATTGAAAAGCAAATATGATTACTGTATTTCCTATAACCATTTTTCCTCCAAACTGTTCACTGTAGGGGAAAAACATTGAAGGTAATGTAAGTCTGATCTAAACATTTATTGAGGCTTTCTGAATGAGTCAATTTTTCATAGGTCTCTCTGTCTTCCTTTATTCTAGATGATGTGAGTGGAGGTGGAAATTTATGAGATCTTAGAAATGGAGACTTCAGATATGTCTGCCATCCTGTAGATCTTTCACCTCTGTAGCAAAATACCTAGCCTGAGCTGCTGTGTGGACCCTTACTAACTGAAGTATGACTAGTTATATGTGGTACAGTTTCACAGCATACCCCATCTGTTGATAGACCTAACTCTAGCCACTTGTCCCAACCTTAAAGTCCTCATCCTATTCTTTGTCATCCATGAGTTTCTTTGTCCCTCAAAAACACTCAGTTGACATCTTAAGTCCATTTATCTAGTTGTTTCACCCTGCTACCACAGTGTTGGCTATTTCTATTGATCCAAGCTGAACAGTTCCCTCGAGTATCCCTGAGACAGGAAAACCTAGGACCCATGTACTTCTTTTTTTAAGATTTTATGTATTTATTTGAGAGAGAGAGTTACAGACAGCAAGAGGAAGAGACAGAGAAAGGTCTTCTTTCCACTGGTTCACTCCCCAAATGGCCACAACGGCTGGAGCCATGCCGATCTGAAGCCAGGAGCCAGGTGCTTCTTCCAGGTCTCCCACGTGGGTGTAGGGGCCCAATGACTTGTGCCATCTTCTACTGCTTTCGCAGGCCATAGCAGAGAGATATATTGGAAATGGGACAGCCGGGACTAGAACTGGTGCCCATGTAGGATGCTGTTGCCACAGGCAGAGGATTAACCTGCTGCACCATGGCACCGGCCCCAGGACCCATGTACTTCTTAACAGTATTATACCACCATACTTTTACTCTTTTTTTCCCTTGAAGTCGGAGAGTACTGGTTTTCCTCTTTGTCTTTCTTTCTATAATGGATTTCCTTTCCAAAATCACTTTTACACTGCTGATTTTCTAAAGAATATAATGTCATATATAGTTTAAAGAAAAACAAAGTTTACTAATCCAGGACCATAAATTGGTGGGTATTTCAAATTTGTATATCCCTTATACCATGAAATAATTTATTTTTTACTTTCCTGCAAATTCTTAAAAAATGGCACATCAAGGTGTTTCTGTTTGGGTGAGGGGAGGAATTTGAGTCTTGGATGTATTATAGATACTATAACAATCCTTAATCTGTGGCTCATTTAGTTTGAGATTATGGTATTTTTTTTAATTTAATGTAATCAAGTTTTTCAATCTGTCTTCTTCACTTGTACTCTTGGATCTTGTCAAGAAGTACTTCAATACCCAGTGTCTTAAAGATAATAATCCTATAATTTATGTAAATTTTTATGATCAAAATGATTTTTATATTTAGGTTTTCAATAAGCACAGAATTTCTGTTTGATATGAAGTAAGAACATAGTTTTATTTTTTTCATATGAAAGTTGACCTATAACAATCATTTATTGAGTCATTTGTTCCCAACTGGTCTCTAATTCCACCTTTGTTTTGTGGTAAAGGCCTTTGTCTTTTAATTACATTTAAAGTTGTTATAATAGGCTTCCCATGGTCAGAAGAATAAGGGAGAAATCTGTCCTGGAAATGAAATGTGTTTGTTATTTGCTTGCCTATGAATGTTTCAACTGTGGTTACTGTTTGCTTATATATGACCTTGTCAGGTTCTGCTTGCTAGTACAGAGCAATGGCATTAACAGTTGCCAGACAGTGTGTGGGGTATCAATTCCTGTGGCTCCCATGTAACATTAGAATATCCAATCAAATGTATGCATGTAGTCTTAAAAGGGAGGCAAAGAGGCTAAAACCTTACATAAGGAAATGCCCTGCTTTATTTTGGGCTCAGGCTTTTGGATAAGAAACTGGGTCTTATGCCAGCATAAATAATAAAAGACTACTTCCTGTTAAAGGGCCTTGGTGTCTTGTCTCTGTACACAAATCCTGATATGTTTTCATGGGGACTAGTATCTGGCTCAGAGAGTGGGTTTTCCACCTCTTTTGTCTCCAGGGGTGTGAAGCTCTTAGCATCAGGGATTGAGTGATCTCTCATGGCTCCAGCAGACCATTTGCTCCATGGAAAGTGGTTCTCCCCCAGCATGCTGGGACTCCAACCCTGGGAGCACAGCAGAACCTGGTGGGCACAGGAACGAGTCTAATGAGCATTGCCCATCAGAACTGATAGGAACCAGATTCGTTTGGTTTGGTGGACCTGCCAAGTGGCAAAAGAGGAGCCTGATCAACTCCCAGAGTTGCCTTGTAATCTCATAAAATGATAGAGTACAGAGATGAAGCTGCAACCCTAAGGTACTGGGTGGTGAATTGGAGATATGGTATTGTTAGCATAGATGGTAGACTAGGTTCTTGTCTCCAATGTGAGACAGAGAAAAGTTGTAAGCAAGGTTAAATGGTTTAACAGAGAACATATACCTGGCAGACCAGGCAGGCAGCTCAAATAATACCAAAAAAAAAACAAAAAACCAAAACTGAGAGCTGAGCACACCATCTGTATTTAGAGTGAGGCTTATGAGAGAATGGAGTCCAGTTCTTCCTGTTGTTTCTCCTTTCTCTCCTCTCCTCCAGGGCAGAGTTTACTGAGTGTAAATACATAAAATTTCCTCTAAAATGTTAAAGGGACTATCTTGACTCCAAACTGAGTCTCTGACCTTGGGACTTCAGTTGGATCCATAAAACTCTCAAATGATAAACATGGCATAACCTAAAATCCATCATCAGGTTATAAAACCAAACTTCTGTTTTGCTTGTATAATGACCTAAAGGGATAAACACCACTCCCTTCCTCTATAATTTATGTGGAAAGGGGGAGAGAGAGAAAGAGAGAGGCAGTTTAGACTTTTTTTCCTCTCTTTCATTTGTGGTGTGTTAACTCCACCCCTTTGCTGAGAGTGGGAAAGAGGAAGGTCACTGATTTCTCAGCCTGGGCCACTGATACTTAAAAGTCTCCTAAATGTAAGTTAACAACCTTTAGTGGGCTTCTCAACCATGGCACAGTGGCCTCTGGCCCACAGTCACCTTAGGACCTGTCTTGCAGCTGCCTGAACATGTTTGTTTCAGAGACGGTCCCAGGTATCTGTTCACTAAGTGTCAGCCTAAGGTGCTTGTTAAGTGAAAAACTAGGCTCAAATTCAATCTAAAATCTAAAGAGACATTCTTGGTAAATAATAATCTCACACATAAAAATTATGGGAAATGATTCTCATGCTAATTTGGTTCAGCTGTAACTGGACATTATATATAAAAAATTCACTGCCTAAAAAAAAAAGAAGGAGCTCTTCCAAGATGGCAAAGTAGGGAGGGAGCTTACTGCTGTAGTCTAAGAGAAGATAGTTTTAAAAAATGGACAGTCCTGAGCTTCTGCACCAGTGTTAGAGTAAGGTGAGACCAGACTGCAGCAGCCCAAGCCACTGGCAATAAAGCTGCAGGAAGAGCCTGCAGGAAACCTGGCTTGGAGCTCCATGGAAAATAGTGTACCTACCAAACTAGAAGAGAAAATAAAGAGGGGGGGACACGTTTTTCTTTCTCCATTCACCTTCTACCAGCATCCTGTAACAAGCCAAAAGAGTGGGCACCATTTTGGACATATGTAACAGCTGAGCCAGCTCATGTCCCTTCTCAGCAACCAGCTGAGTGGAAATTCCTGACTCTGCGGGGAAGAACTAATAGGGAGGTGGGTGCTCATGACTGTGGAAGGCTTGTGTGCTAGGACAGTGAAAATAACTGAGGCTGTCTGCTAGGACTCACAGTGTGACTGGGACTTTGGGCAGTCACTGTGGGAGACTCCACACACTCAGGGCTTCTAAATTCTTTGGACTTTGATATTTCCAGTTGGGCCCCTGGAACTATCAAAGGATATATCTCTCATCTTATAGAGACACCAACTAAATAGGCTCTTTAGATTATATTAAAGGTACTGTCAAGATGTAAAATGGTACTAAACTTTAAATTATGCTAATATAAAATGTACTGATAAAAATGTCTAATGATTAAAAAAGTCTAATGATCTTGTTGCGTTATCAGTCATAATGGTTGTCTTAATAAAAAGGCGTGAAGGCCTAGAAGAGATAAATGTTCTTATATTATTATAAAATCCTAAATGTGCCTTCTGTAATACTTTGTGGAGTAAACAGGTGCCTCTTTTTGATTAATTAATTTTATAATTTTAACCATGGCTATTTGAAATATTTAGCCATCTACAATTTTATATTCTACAAATAGGAGGTTTCAAGACTCCAAAACAAAAGAAAAAACTGTTCATAAACGTTAAAATATTGTTGGTTCTGTGTTTAAATGTTTCTTCTTCTAGGTCCCAAAGGACTTTTTTTTCCATGACTTCAATTGTATTCAGTACTTTGGGATAACTCTGTAAACAGATAAAACTAAAGTGTAACAATAAATTACAGGTTCCAACTAAAAGGTTATGGTTAATTCAGATTATTAAAAACAAAAGGTAATTCTAATCAATTAATGGTAATTTTGAAAACCGTTAAAGATTTTAAAAAACTTACTAAAACTGCTTTATTGTTTGGTCTTGTATGTCATACATGTGTTATGTGTGTGCAGGTTGCATGTGTATGTAAAAATTATTAAAAACTCTGTTTTGATACTTTTAAAACTGGATTTAAATATTAAGACAAATGTTAGAAATGACTTTTTGTTATTTTGAAATGAGGTTTTATTTTATTCCATGTTTAAATTGTTTACTTCAATTTGCATAGGAAAAGTCTGAAACCTTTATCATGTAGTTGCTTTTATGTGTAATTATTAATGATATTTCACTCTTAGTTCCTTTTGAGGCTTAGAATTTCACCCATGTGTCAGATCAAACAGTATTATAGTCTGTACTTGGGTGCAGAAGATAGAGAACATTTGTAAATGGTGCTTGCTGCCTGCCATTTCCAACCGATTCTCTTTAAAGTATAGTAAGTAATTGTAAAGTTTGAATTTTTAGTTACATTACTTTTGAGGCTGGTGAAAAATTTAAATATAATGTTCTGGGAACACTTTCTCATATTAAGAAAATGTATATGTCTGTAGCACTTCCTTGCAATTTGAAAACATTGGATGCTGAACCTTATTTTGGCAGTTTAGATGATTTAAAAATACATTTATTGTTTTTGACAAGTATAATTACTTGGACAACTTTGTAGGTAGCCTTAACTTCTGGCCAACTTTGTTTTATATAAATTTATATACTTATCACATGGATGTGTTGCTATATACAACTTAATACTTTATTCTCAAATGCTGGGTTGAAAATTGTCTTGAAAGCCTTTTAAAATATATATCTCTATAAAGAAATATTCAGGATGATCATGATGAAAATTGTTTATATTATTATGATAAAAATGATGGTATAATATTGCCCAGTGTATTTAATGATTATTTGAAGAGGTAGAGGGAAGGAAGGTTATTATATTACTTTCTTCTTTGAAATTTTCAGTGTATCGGCTTTTAAAAAAATGAATACTTAAGGCAGTGGACATTTATTCAATATTATTTAAATGATACCCTGTGGTAAATAGTTTGTGGCATATTATTAATTTGCTCTGAATATTTGATTCTTTCTAATCCTTTTGACTTGACATTCAGAGTGTTGAACCAAGGAGAGAGGCTCAAAGAGGAACAGTTAAACACTTGGGGTAAATTTATAAACAACTCTTGCACCTCCCTTAGAACCACTCTTTGGATTCAGTATTTGTGCTTGAGTTTTCTTTCAAATATGGCCATATGGGTGTAGGACATGCAGAGGTGAAGCATTCATTTAATGCTTAAGGTTATGGAAATCTTGGGGCCAGCGCTGTGGCATAGTGGGTAAAGCTGCCGCCTACAGTGCTGGCATCCCCTATGGGCACCGGTTCGAGTCCCGGCTGCTCCACTTGCAGTCCAGCTCCAATCATAGCTCTCTGCTATGGCCTGGGAAAGCAGTAGAAGATGTCCCAATTCTTTGGGCCCCTGCACCCATGTGGGAAGACCCGGAGGAAGCTCCTGGCTTTGGATAGGCACAACTCAGGCTGTTGGGCCAATTGGGGAGTGAACAGGGGATGGAAGACCTCTCTCTCTCTCTGCCTTTCCTCTCTCTGTGTAACTCTGATTTGCAAGTAAATAAATAAATATTTTTTAAAATGTTATGGAAATCTTTTCAAGAAGTATTTTCTTATAGAATATGCTATTTGTATCCATGTCTTCCCACAGCTACACGGCCTTGTATTCAAATAGGTAATAATGATCTTTCCTGCGTGCAGTGAGGGTGAGGAAGCTGGGGAGGGTAGACTTCTAAATTGATTATCATGTTTTGATCTTATCTAAAAAGACATAGTTGTCCTCATGGGCATTGGGTTTTCTCACAGAAAAACATGCTTATGACTACAGACTTCTAACTCAAGCTACCAAAGATTAAGGATAAAACTGAGCACCCCATTGACTGACATCCTAGAATCTGCCTCTTTGGTCTACTTTTTTTTAAGATTTTAATTATTTGAGAGGTAGAGTTTCAGACAATGAGAGAAAGAGACAGAGAAAGGTCTTCCTTCCGTTGGTTCACTCCTCAAATGGCTGCAATGGCCAGAGCTGCGCCGATCCGAAGCCAGGAGCCAGGAGCCAGGAGCTTCTTCCAGGTCTCCCACATGAGTGCAGGGGCCCAAGAACTTGAGCCATCTTCTGCTGCTCTCCCAGGCCACAGCAGAGAGCTGGATTGGAAGAAGAGCAGCTGGGACTAGAGCCAGCGCCCATATGGGATGCTGGCACCACAGGCAGAGGATTAACCTACTGCGCCATGGACCAGCCCACTGTGGTCTACTTTAACAAGGAGAAAAAGAGCAAGCTAGGCAATAGGAGCAATGTAAAGATAGGTGGCAAGCCAAATAATAGCTGCTTTGCACAAAGTTCTGCCATCAAAGTGACCCAATGAGGCCAGTCCACCCCAAATGGCATCACAGGTTTCCATGGGAAAGCCAGGAAATTGGGCAAACAACTGTCCTCACAAAATCCTTTCAAGAGCGAGGCAAGTGGAACTTCCCTGAAAAGCTCCCAAACTAGAACCACAGATCCTGCTGGTTCCAAGCTGAAAAAGTCCTTTATTCCAGCCAGCATCCAAGGTAACACAGCTATTGAAGGGAAGGCTTAGGGTCAGTTTTTTTTTTTGTTTTTTTGTTTTTGTTTTTGTTTTTGTTTGTTTGTTTGTTTTAGATTACAGGCAAGACTGTGATCTTCCTTTTGAATATACTGCCTATTCTATATTAACCTCCTATTCAGGCCACCTCTCCTTCCAGGCTGGCTGGGTAATGAGAGTCAACATGTGTCTTCAGTAAAGAGGTTCACACCTTCCTTATGATGTCTCTTCCATTCCTAGGTACTGTAATAATGATTTGGTCTTCATTTAATTTGAGCGTTGGGTCTGTTTCTTCCAGACTTACAAAGCCACAAAAGGAGGGGAAAGGCCTCTATTGTTCGTTGGATTTATTTATTTATTTATTTTTACCTCCAAAGAAACTTTTTATTTAAGGAATGCAGACTTCATGCATTTCATAAATACAACTTCAGGAATATAATGAAAAGGCCTCTATTTTTAAAAGGCCTTAAAACAAATTAAACAAGACCTTACAAATAAGAGACTGTTGCTTTGTCCACCTTTACTACTGTCAAGGTTGACGAGATAGTTCCTTGATCCACCACAGCAGAGTGGAGCCAGTGGCCTGTAACTGAGAGTGCAGCTCCAATCCAGCAACACTGTGCAATGAGCATCCGAAGCAAGTGGACCCTCCCTAAAGAGATCCCAGGGACGGTGGTTGTAGAGGAGCCGTGGAGACTGACAGCCTTGCTTCAGTCACACCAGAAGCTGACTGAGGACTCAGCTGCCTGCTAAAATACATTAACTGATCCTTTCTTCTTTTTCCTCTCTCATTAGTTTCCTCTTGTAATGCATTGTAAACCCATATTTCTCTGTGATTGTAGTTTTAGTCCTAAGTGTTAACAATAGGACTGGTGACAACCACTCCGGCCAATTAAAACCTCTTAGCAGTTTTTTAACCTCTTGTGAGCAGCATGCTTTGTTGTCATTGGTTGTTTCTAATTTGGTTCCCATTGTAGACTGGAGCTCCTCCTTACCAATCCAAAATGACCAGTGTCAATCCTTTTGACACTTGGAAGCTAATAAATTGGGTATTTTAAGCTACCAAATTGGTGGTAATTTTTTTATACAAGAGATAATATATAACATAGCAGAAAAAATATTTAAAGATGTAATTGTGGGGGTTGGCCCTGTCGCATAGCAGGTAAAGCCACCACCTGCAGTCCTGGTATCCCATATGGGCGCTGGTTAGAGTCCCGGCTGCTCCACTTCGGATCCAGCCCTCTGCGGTAGAAGATGGTCCAAGTCCTTAGGCCCCTGCAGCCACATGGGAGACATGGAAGAAGGTTCTGGCTCCTGGCTTTGGATTGGCACAGCTCTGGCCATTGTGGTCATCTGAGGAGTGAATCAGCGGATGGAAGACCTCTCTCTGTCTGCCTCTGCTTTTCTGTAAGAGGGAAGAGGGATGCGGTCTAGTGCCTCTGCTTTTTATCCTGTTGTTTATTTTGTTTCAGTCATTTTGTCTTAACCATTCCTATTTATTTTGAAAGGTTTTTACAAGAGGTGGAGAAAACCTAGTGATATAATAGATTCTACCATTTTCTAGAATGTCCTCAATACTGAGGGTAATAGCAGTAGATACTGTACAGTAGCAAACTGAAATCATCAAACTTTTGGTTTGCTGTTTAACTCACAGAGCTCATTTCTGTTAAATACCTCTTTTATTTCAGAGATTGGTGCTAAATGGCATAACTTTTGGACACCAGCCAGCCTTGAGGATAACCTCGTCTTTGGCTATCTATTTGGAATGCTTTTACTTGATGCTTTCTTGTATGGCCTTGTTGCCTGGTATGTAGAAACTGTCTTTCCAGGGCGGTATGGCTTGCCCCAACCATGGTACTTTTTCCTTAAGGTGAGTTTTTATGCTGTTATTACTGCATAAGGTCATAGCCCTTATGAGCCTGTTTTATAATATTTATCATGAAATCAAAAGATCGAGGGGAGAATTGTTCTCTATCTATATACCAAACATACTGAAATGCTAGCCATTTCTTGAGAGAACTTAAAACCTTCTGCATACACAGATGTATAACATCCATGGATAAGACACTGAAACCCTTCCTCCTCTAAAAATTGTGAGTGCTGTAACTCTTCGGCAGCCAGATGGTATATAGGTGATAGTATATAGTAGAAGATAAGGAAACCTAAAAGCCTGTAAAAGGAATTCACACTGGGGCATGGGGCATAGCACAGCAGATTAAACTCCCACTTAGGATACCAGTATTCAATATTGGTGTACCAGTTTGAGTCCCAGCTGCTCCATTTCCAGTCCAGCTCTCTGCTAACATGTCCAGGGAAAGCAGTAGGAGATGGCCCATGTACCTGGGCCACAGCCACCAGCCCACCCACATGAAAGACTCAGATAAAGTAACAGACTTCTAGCTTTATTATGGCCCAGGCCCAGCCATTATGGCCTTTTGGAGTGTGAATCTGTAAATGGATGATCTCTGTCTCTAGTTCTCTTTTGGTCACTGTGTCTTAGAATAAATAAATAAATCTTTAGGAAACAAAAGGAGTTCACATCTAAATTAATATGTGATAGTTTCCTGGATTGTAGTGAGGAGAGGACTAGGATACTCTCATATCTACATTTTAACAATTAGCAAATTTCAATGATTAATCACTTTACATTGAGTAGGAGAGATTCTGCATCTTGCCCTTTATGCTTCATTACCATTACTGTTAATATACAGTACAAAGAAGATGCTGTGACCATTGTAATAAAAAGCATTGGCTATGATCTCAATTTTTAGTATGTCATTTTGTACCTACATCTTGAACATTGTATTTTAAGTCTTTACTTCTAAACATTGGAGATTCAAATAATAATTTTACTATAAAATATAATCCCTTTATATTGTTTTGTATTTAACTTTTTCCATCTCACAAAATAAAACATGCCGAGGTACTCCAAAGTTCCTAGAGATCTTCACTTCTTTTTTTTCATGTTTAAAATTTTTTAACTCAAAGGGCAGATACTTGGCACAGCAGTTAAAATGTCCCTTGGGATACCTGCTTCCCATAATCAGTGCCTGATTTCAAGTTCCAGCTCTGCTTCTAGTTCTAATTTCCTGCTAATGTGCACCCTAGTAGGCAGTGATTATGGCTAAGTATTGGGTCCCCTGGAGTTGCAGATTGAATTCAGGCTTCTGACTTCAGCCTGGCCCAGGCCTTTGGGGAGTGACACAATGGATGGGAGATCTCTCTCTGTCTCTGTCTCTCTCTTAAATAAATAAATAAATAAAATTTTTAAATAAATTTTGAGAAAATTCACGTAACATAAAATTAGCCATTTAAAGTAAACAAAGTCAGTGGCATTTAGTGTATTCACAATGTGAAACAATGTCTCCATCTTGTTCTAAAATATTTTCATCACCCAAAAATAAAACCCCAACCCCTGGGGCCAGCATTGTGGCATAGTGGATTAGGTCCACCGCCTGCAGTGCCAGTACCCCCATATAGGCACTGGTTTATGTTCCAGCTGCTCCATTTCTGATCTAACTCCCTGCTAATGGACCTAGGAAAATAGCAGAAGGTGGCCCAAGTGCTTAAGCCCTTGCCAACACATGGGAGATCAGGATGAAGCTCCTGGCTCCTGGTTTCAGCCAGTCCCAGCCTCAGTTCTTGCAGCCATTGAGGGAATGAGTCAGCAGATACAGCTCTGTCTCTATGTAACTCTGCCTTTCAAATAAATCAATATTTTTTTTAAAATGAAACCATTACCTGTAAGAAAAAACCCTGGTCCCTGAAGAAGTCATTCCTCATTTTTCTATTCCAAAACCCTGGGAACTACTAATTAAATATTGTGGGTATTTCATATAAATATAACCATATCTGCTTATTTCACATAGCATGATGATTTTGAGGTTTACCCATGTTGTACTATGCCTCAGTAGTAACTGAATGACATTCCGTTATATGGATACAGAGCAATTCTTTACCCTTGATTCATTGGTGGATTCATGCTTCTACCTTTTGTTTACTATAAGTGGTGCTGCTGCAATAATGTACAAGTCTTTGAATATCTGCTTTAAATTATTTTGGATATGACAACCAGGAATGAAACTGCTAGTTCATGTAACAATTTCATATTTAGTATTTTGAAGCACAAACTGGTTTTCACGTTGGCTACACCTTTTTACATTCCCATAAGCAATTACCAAGGTTCCATTTTCTTTACATAGTCACTAATACTTCTTGTTTTCATTTTTTGTTTGTTTTATAGCCATCCTCATGAGAATAAAATGTTGTCTAATTATGATTTTTCTTTACATGTCTATGATGAAATCGTGTTGAAATCTTTTTATATCTTGATTAGAGAAATGTCTATTCAAGTCTATATTCATTTTTAATTAGTATTTGTTTTTTATGTATCCTACATACTTGGCCCTTATCAGACTTACAAATATTCTCTTCCATTCTTTGGAATGTCTTTTTTTTTTTTTTGACAGGCAGAGTTAGATAGTGAGAGAGAGAGACAAAGAGAAAGGTCTTCCTTTTTCCGTTGGTTCACTCCCCAAGTGGCCACTGCAGCCAGTGAATTGCGGCTGGCACGCTGAGCCGATCCGAAGCCAGAAGCCAGGTTCTTCCTCCTGGTCTCCTATGCGGGTGCAGGGCCCAAGCACCTGGGCCATCCTCCACTGCACTCCTGGGCCACAGCAGAGAGCTGGACAGGAAGAGGAGCAACCGGGACAGAATCCAACACCCCAACCGGGACTAGAACCTGGGGTACCGGTGTTGCAGGCGGAGGATTAGCCTAGTGAGTCATGGCGCCGGCATGGAATGTCCTTTTACTCTTAATAGTGTCCTGTCATGCTCAAAAGTTTTTAATTTTGGTGAAATTATATATTTTTTTATTTTTTTACTTATAAATCTGGTGTCATATTTGAAGATCCTTGTGAAATATATCATTGATCCATTTTATGTTAACTTTTTAGTTACATGGTATGAGATGGGAGTACAAGTTCATTCTTTTGCATGTGGATATCCTGTTGTCCCAGAATCACTTTTTGAAGAGAATATTCATTCCTCCATTGAATGCTCTTGACACCCTTGAGGAAAATCCACTGGCCATAATTAAATGGGTTTGTTTATTCACCCTGATTTTATTCCATTAACTTGTATATCTATCCTTACATCAGTATGGCACTGTTTTATGTATTGTAGCTGTGCAGTAAGTTTTTTTTTAACTTTTATTTAATGAATATAGATTTCCAAAGTACAGCTTATGGACTACATTGGCTTCCCCCACCTCCCCCCCAATGACTTCCCTCCCACCCGCAACCCTCCCCTTTCCTGCTCTCTCTCCCCTTCCATTCATATCAAGATTCATTTTCAATTTTCTATATATACAGAAGATCAGTTTAGTATACATTAAGTAAAGATTTCAACAGTTGTGCAGTAAGTTTTAAAATCTGAAAGTATTAGTCATTCAACATTGTTTTTATTTTTCCAAGATCATTTTGGCTGCGAAGTTGCCATTGCATATGAAAGAAATGCATATGAGCTTTTCTGTTTCTGCAAAGCATGGCCCATAGAATTTTGATAGGAACTGCACTGAATCTGTTGATTGATTTCAGTCATTTTGCCACCCTAAAAATATTAAGTCTTTCAGTTCATGAACTTCTTATTTATGTGGATCTTCTTCAGATTCATTCAGCATAGTTTTAATAGTTTTCAGCTTTTGAGTCTTTTATCTCTGTAACTTTTTTTAGATTTACTTACTTGCTTATTTATTTATTTGAAAAGCATAATGACAGATGTCCCATCTGCTAGTCACTCCCCCAAATGGTCACAACAATTGGGGCTGGGCCAAGGTGAAGCCAGGAGCCCAGAACTATATCCAGGTCTCCCACATGGATGTCAGGGGTTCAAATACTTGGACCATCATCTGCTGCTTTCCTAGGTGCATTAGCAGGGAGCTGGATCAGAAGCAGATCAGGAATCAAAGTAGCATTCCAGTATGGGATGCAAGCAGTGGCTTTTACCCCCTGTACCCCAACATTGGAGCCTCCTTTGTTAACTTTGTTCATAAATATTTATTCTTTTTGGATGCTATTACTAATTTTCTTTCAGGTTGTATATTCCCGATATGTAGAAACACAACTGGTTTTTACGTATTGCTCTTGCATGTTGCAACTTTGCTGAATTTGTTGGAACCAGTTATGCATAGGTATATGGAGGGGGGGATTCTTCAAATTCTTTATGAGGGTCATGCCATCTTTAGAGATAGGTTCACCTTTTCCATTCCACTTTGGAAGCCTTTTATTTCTTTATCTTGTCTCATTTATCTTGCTAAAAATTTCCAGAACAGAAGTGAATGGCAGGGGTGAAAGCAAGCATCTTTGTCTTGTTCCTGGTTTGACTTTATTTTTTTAAACTACACAATGTCTTCAAAATTCTTTTTCATTTTATTTGAAAGAAAGACAGAGTCAGAGCTCTTTCATTCCCTGATTTATTCCCCAGATGCATGTACCAGCCAGGACTGGAACAGGCACAAGTGAGGAGCTGGGAAGTCAGTTTGGTTCTCCCATACGGTCAGCAGTGTTTTCCTGAAGATTTTGCATCTATATTTATAAGGGATTTTATAAATCCTTTTCTGTATTTCCTCATATTATCTTCTTCTGGCTTTGGTGTCAGGATAATCCTCATCTCATAGAATAGTTAAGAAATATTTCCTTCTATGTTTTTAGAAGAGTTGGTGAGAATTATTGTTAATACTTGTTTCAATATTTGATATAATCACCAGTGGATCCATCTGGTCCTGAAATTTTCTTTGTAGGGAGGCTATCAATCACTGATTTAGTCTCTGATTTTTATAGAGCTGTTCAAATAGAGTGCTTCATTTTTTAATACTCATTTTGGTTATTGCATTTGCTGTTTTTCTAGCATTCATACTGGTTTGGAAAACCAAGAATTAGAAGGAAAAAAGAAATTAATGGCCCTGAGGGAATTCAAAGCACCTATTTTGAGGATGAACCTATTCACTTGGTAGCAGGTATCCAGATCAAACATTTGCACAAGGTATTATTTCAAATATGTCTTTTCCTCACAGAAACTTGTTTGTCCATGTGCGATGGAAATGTTCATATCAGGCCATTCCAAGAAAACAAATAAGATGCTTAATGAGGATTCATAATATAGTTCTATTATTAAGAGGCATAATTTGATTGGCATTGTGATTAATGGAACATATAAATACAAAGATACTTCAAAAAGTTTGAGGAAAATTTAATTAAAAGATACATGTATTTTTGGGGAAGCCATTGTAATCAATATTCTGTACTTTGGAAATTTATATTCATTAAATAAAAGTTAAAAAAAATACATGTATTTTTGAAGCCAAAAAATGTTTTTAAAAATTTTTATTTATTTATTTGAAGGCAGGGTTACAAAGAGAGGGACAGAGAAAAAGGTCTTCCATCCACTGGTTCACTCCCCAAATGGCTGCAATGGCTGGAGCTGGGCAATCCAAAGGCAGGAACCAGGGGCTTCTTATGGGTCTCCCATGTGGGTGCAGGGGCCCAGGCACTTGGGCTATCTTCAGCTGTTTTCTAAGGCCATAAGCAGAGAGCTGGATCAGAAGAGGAGCAACTGTGACACGAACCAGCACCCACATGGGATGCTGGCACCACAGGGTGGAGGCTTAGCCTACTATGCTACAGTGTCAGCCCTCAAAAAACTTTTGAAATATATTCATACTAAAAAAAAATAGAAAGAAAGAAAAAAATATATTCATACTAAGGCGTCTTCAAAAAGTTTGTAAAAATGCATATTACAACAAAACTATGCATTGTTAAAAAATTTTTGCACCAAATAATCTATTAACGTCACTTTCCATGAACTTTTTAAAGGTCCCTCATACTCATAGATAAATGTTAACAAATACAGTCTTACTTGCTCTCTCTGTTATGCATTAGTTTGACTATTCTCTGATGGACTTAACAACAAATGATATTTGTGTAATTTACATGAAGAAAATAAACTTGATAGTGTAATAGTAACCTTTGGGTTTAATTGAGAAGATAAGCCAACTGATCTCTCAGTTTCTCTATGCCTGAAATGGTTATTTCATTTTCGTTTTACAATATATTTTTATTGGGTATAGAATTTTATGCTAAAGATACTTTTGTACTGTCTTTGTACATGCATTGGTTTCTATGAAAAATTTGCTTTCATTCTTAACTGTTTTTCCTATGTGTAGGATTCATTTTTCTGGCAGTTGCTTTCAAGACATTTTTCACTGGTTTTATGCAATTTTATTATGGTTTTCCTTAAGGCTAGTTTTTTCTTGTCCTTTGGGTCTATTTAAGTTTCTTGAGTCTATGTATTTGGGGAGGAGCGATTGGATATTTCTGTATTTCATTAAATATTTTTGATTGTATTTGTTTTGTTTTTAAGACATACTTATTTGAAAGGCAGAGTAATAGAGAGAGATCTTCTATCCACTGGTTAATTCCCTAAATGGCCACAAAATCCAGGAGCACAGTCTCCCACGTGGGTGGCAGGAGCCCAGGCACTTGGGCCACCATCCACTGCTTTCCCAGGCATGTTAACAGGGAGCTGAATCAAAAGTGGAGCAGCCAAGAACTTGAACTGCTCCTGCTGTATGGAATGCCAGTGTCGCAGGTGGCAGCCTAACCCACTGTGCTACAATGTTGATGCCTGATATTTGTTTTTGAAAGTGATTAAATTATCTGGGAACAATTTGAGTTTTTGATGTCTACTTTGCTTAATCTGCAGTTAATTATTTCTCATACTGAGGCAAACCCTTTTTTTTTGTTTGTTTGTTTGTTTGATAATCTACCCAATGCCCTGTTAATCTTGAAATTTTCCAGTCTGGCTATTGGGAACAAACACCTTTTCTGACCTCAGATGAATGCCAAAGACTGTACCCCCTAATTTTTAAATGATTCTTTCTCCAAATTCAGATAGTTTCCTAATTAGCATTTATTGATCAGTTGTGTGTTAACATTCAAAGGGATCCACTGTAGATCTCCAAAGTTCTTTCTGTGTCTAGTTGTCTCCTCTGCATTGTTCCATCCCATAAACTCTGGTTCCCTTGGCCTTTAGTGGACTCTCAGCTTTGCCTTTCAACTCACATAACCTGATAGACTCTACTTGAGTCAGTCCTTTCTGGGCCATGGTTCGAAGCTGGGGAAATTATGGGACTTACCTTATTTGTCTTCCATCTGTCTGGAATCACTATCTTCTGTTACCTGGTGTCTATAAACTGTTAAACATGTAATATCATCATATGTCCCATTTTTCAGGCCCTTTGTTTTATTCTTATTGTTGATCATAGTTCATAATTATCTTATGGACCTTTACCTTTTGTGCTATCTTCCTTTACAAAAGCATCATTAAAGCAGACTTTGTGTGACTTATTATTAGATATAATACTACAAAACAGTAAAATGTCTGACACATAGTGAGTATTCAGTAAATACTCATAGCTGGTTTTTTTAAAAGATTGATTGATTTAAAAGAGTTACACAGAGAGAAAGAGATGCAGAGAGAGAGAAGTCTTCTATCCACTGATTCACTCCCCAGTAGGCCGCAATGGCTAGAGCTGCGCTGATCCAAAGCCAGGAGCCAGAAGCTTCCTCCGGGTCTCCCATGTGGGTGCAGAGGCTGAAGGACTCAGGCCATCTTCCACTGATTTCCCAGGTTATAGCAGAGAGCTGGATTGGAAGAGGAGCAGCTGGGACTCGAATTGGCGCCTGTATGGGACACCAGCACTGCAGACTGCAGCTTTATGTGCTACACCACAGCGCCGGCCCCTCATAGTTGTTGAACAGATGAATGATCATTCTTGATTCATGTTAATGAATTGAACTTGGTGACTTAATGCACTCAGTAGTTAATAGTAGTGAAGAACTATATGTCTCTATTAGTTCGGTGGTTGTATGTGGCTTTACCAGCTGCACCATAGCACCAGCCCCTCATAGTTGTTGAACAAATGATTGATCATTCTTGATCCATGTTAATGAATTGGACTTGATGACTTAATGCACTTAGTAGTTAATAGCAGTGAAGAACTATAGGTTTATACTCAGATTTCTGATTTGTACATTTAGGTAAATTTTCAAGCCATGTACTGAGTTAGGAAGTATAGTTGAGGAATATATTTTTAGAGGATAATGATAAGTTTAAATACATTATAGATGAATATAGTTATATTTCAGAGTTTTAGATATGTTGAACTTGAGTTCTTTATAGATATCTAAACATGAGCTTCTGGTGGGTATTAGAAGTACAAAGCTATAGCTTGGGGAGAGATGGTGACTGAAGTAAATTGTAATATTATCAGTAGCTGTAAGTTACATAATGGAGTTTATATTGGAGGAAATTAGATCATCTAGGACATTGATTTTCAACTGGGTGTGATTCTGGTCCTCCAGAGTCTATTTGACAATATCTGGAATCATTATCATTGTCACTACTAGAGGACAGGGAAGATGGAGAGAGGAGTGCTCCTGAAGTCTTATGGGTAGACACCAGAGATGTCACAAAATATCCTACACCGGATATACACAGGAGAGTCCTCCACAACAAAGAACTGTTTAGTCCAAAATGCCTATAGTGTCACTGTTAAGAAGACAAGCCAAGGAAAAGTTTGTAGACATACTCCTACATTGTTTCTTGTAAATTTGGCAACATTACTGTCTCTTTCTAAGGTTTTTGCAACTTTGACAAAAAAGAATCTAAGGACTGCATTCCCTGAATTCCTTTCCTTTTTGCCTTCTGGTTAGCTCTTTCCAATGAGAGGTACTTGCAGACATTTTAGGAGACTTCAAAAACTTGTAGAAAAAGCTATGTGACAAAGACACCAGCATGGAGAGGAGGGACCCCCAGGGCTCCGAATCCACACATCGGCGCTGGAAGCGGAGGTGAGCTCAGTAACCGGAGACATTGGCAGGGAAACGGCGGACAGAATTTTAGAGGAACGCGGGTTTTGAAGCGGGAAAGTCCAACAGACTGACTACAGGAGAGAAGGAAAAATAAATAAATAAATAAATAGGTGGGGGCATACTGGTACAGACAAGTTCCACTCTCCTCCAACCTTGCAAAGGCGAGCAAGAGACAAAGAGCTGGGATATACATAATAAAAGGGGAGAGTTAAGGCTACAATTCAGTAGCCTAGGCAACCCAGAGGGAGTCCGCAGGAGAAACCAAGCCTGCACAGACTGTTTCTGTAGAAGCCAGCAGAAGCTAAATGCCATCCATTCTGCTCAGCCTTGCAGTATTACTTACCTCCTGAACAAAAATTAAATTAAATTAAAGAATAAATAAATAAAGAGAGATTTACCATGCATTACCTGAGGGTGTCACCTTTGCACACCTGTAACCCTGAAGAACCAAGCAGAGCTCTCAGGCCACACCCATCTCAAGCCTCCAAGGCTCCTCCAACAGCAGGCAGTCCACTTAACACAGAAATAGTATAAAAAAAAAAAAACTCACAGTGAGGGAAACAGAATTAACCATGCCAAGCAATAAACACAGAAATCAAGGGAACAAGATCCACGATGACATTATGATGCCTCCAAATAAACAAAACACCCCAAGCCAAGATTATGAAGATGATGAGATAGAAGAAATGCAAGATACGGATTTCAAAAAATTTATAAGAACATTTAGAAGTTTTCAAAAGCAAATCCTTGAACTACAGAAATCCTTATTGGACAGGATTGAAAATCTCTCTCGTGAAAATGAAATTTTAAGGAAGAATCAAAATGAAACACAGAAACTAGTAGAGCAGGAAAGTGTGATAGTGAAGAGAAATCAAAATGAAATGAAGAGCTCAATAGATCAAATGACAAACACATTAGAGAACCTTAAAAACAGAATGGGTGAAGCAGAAGAGAGAATATCGGACTTAGACGACAGAGAACAGGAAAGGATACAGTCAAACCAAAGAAAAGAAGAGGAAATCAGAAATCTAAAAATTATTGTTGGGAATCTACAGGATACTATTAAAAAAACCAACATTCGGGTTCTAGGAGTTCCTGAAGGCATGGAGA